TTTTTGGGAGGCAAGGGAGAAGAGAAAAGAGGAAGAGAGTGGAGAGAATTAGCTGAATTGGACTCTCCCCTCTTTCTCCTTTATATAGAGCACTCTCCTAATTTAATTAGAAGGTGATCCAAATCAAATTTTGATCAGGACTCTATCTTTAATTGATAAGCATTATCTTCTTAAGAGGATTGGTGCTCCAAACCTAGATCCATACCCGTTTTCAACCTAAGTTACATGACAACGGTTGTCATATAATCATTTAACTAATCATATTAATAGTGGGCGTTACACTATTTTTCTCTAATGCTTCACATCGCAAGGTGTTGCATAGCCACTTTGAGCTTAGATATTGTGTGGCATGGAACCCATAAAGGTCTCACAAAAATTCATAAGGGTTTAGCTTTACCTTTGGAAAACGTTAGGCCAAATTCACTATTCAGGGCAGTGAACCACTGACCCAATCAACTAAGGCTCAGTTTGAGCCCAACATTAAAACATAAATGATCATTGGATTCAACCACCCTATTAAGAGCCAAACATAATGGACTTATGTGAGATCAAACCTATCAGGTAATTAGCCCTATAATAGTCTCTTACACCTAACCTCTCGGCCCAATGCAAAACATAGTGTCACACTCTCCGTTCGAGTGGATCCCAAGATTAAAACTTTTTACAAGAATTTTGCAAATCATATTTCAAATACCGTTGAAATCCACCGCTAACAGTTTTAGGTTTTCATCAAAGAGAATGTAAATCCAGATATTCACTTTGTCTGACAAAGGTGTCGATCCTATTACTATGATTGCCCATTCAAGTAATTTCCTAAACTATCCTAGCATGCCTAGGTATTTGACCCTTGATAGATCTCACTAGTTGGCACATCAAAGGTAGCTCAGTCCCATACATAGTGTAGTATCATAATCAAGTATGGGGTTATGTTTAATTTTTCAATTTTGTCCATCTATCTCCAAGGTCCAGGGCATGACTAAAACTTGGTCCGGGTTAAGTATTTCTTCTAAACACCCATTAGATGCACTTAGGATCTAACCCTAGCAACTGAGACAAGTTACTCATCCAATTCAGCAACTTAACAGTATTAGCCTAATCAAGATAAGCTCCTTAAGCCTATCCAATGGTTGAGAACATTCTAAACTACCACGAGTCTCACAAGTGTTCAGTTTAAGGCATAATTCATAGAAGACATATCGATTAGAACATGAAAAAATAAAGTGTTTTATTCATTCACTCATAATGTTTTATGTACATCAATATGATTGGAGGTAAGGGCATACACTATCTAACAAGTCCCACTTGCATTTAAGTGCAATCAGGCATTAGCTTCATCCCCATACTATCCACAAGTCCTTCAAACACTTTTTATGTCGGAGGCTTAGTTAATGGGTTTGCCATGGTTTTCATTAATGCTACTTTATGAATCTGGATGTCTCTTGTAATAACAATCTCCCGTATATATATAATGTTGTGTGTGTGTGTGTGATGCATATTTTATGATTAATTTTTTAATTCAGCTTTACTTTTTTATTTGTAAAAAATATTAAAAATTGCAATTTGAGGCAAAAAATTTATTTTTTTTTGCGAAAAATAGCAACACAAGGCTCCTATGGCCCCTTGGGACACAGAGACCTAAAAAATTTACCCAAAATAAAAAAAAAGATCACCCCAATCGAGCATAAAGTTATGGCTTGGAAAAGTTTGCATACATGCTTAGTTACGACCCTTGACCCGTCACCAAATTGGATGGTCAACGTTCCAACCGGCCAATTGAATGTTTTTAACAAAGTTACGGAGTTTACTAGAACTATACTGAAATCATGGCTAGCTAACGGTTCGAATGATTCAACCGTTTGGGTTAATGACGGGTTGGAAACACTAATCATAAATTGGGGAAAGGTTGAGCTTGGGTTAGGCCTAGGTGCATCTTAAAAAATAGAAAAAGTCACTTTTGGATTATCATATGACTTAAGTGAAATTAATGCTTGAATTGGACTTGGGTGGCCTTCGGTAAATCTGAAGTCTAATGTCTGTAAAGCAAAAAAATCTCTGAAAAAGTTATAAAAGCAGTATAAAGAAAATTTGCTTTTCTACTTTTTAATTGGTCTCCAAAATATTAATATTTGAAAATAATTTTAATATTAACATTAAGGTAAAATCTCAATATAAAATAATATTTATAACATGTTTATAAAATAATGTTTTATAAATATTTATAAACTATAACAAACTAGAGGTTGCCTTCAACATCTCGCACCACCACCGAACCGCAATGGTAAGTAATTTGCGGTTTTGCACCATATATCTCTCTCTCTTTCTTCTTCTTCTTCTTCTTCTTCTTCTCAGTAATACGCCCTATCTCTCTTTTCTGTTGTCAGTAAGCAAGTTAACCACTGAACGTTTTGGTAGCCACCTTTCTTTTGGTTGCCGTCTCTTGTGCAAGATGTCGTCCTTTGTGCAAGACACCTCTCTTCAAGTCGCTTGTGCAAGACAAATTTCTTTGGGTTGTCGTCCTTGTTCTAGATCCTATAACAGTGCTGCCGTCTCTTGTTCAATACACTTCATCCAGGCACGTCTAGTCATGTTAAAGCTTGAACTAATATCTAAAGCATGAACTCTTTAAAAGTTGTGGAAAGGGTTAAAGTAATGGGCTTTGATCCCACAAGTCACTCATTTGTCGTCGCTATTAACTCAGTGATGGGGATGAATAAATTGAATTGGGAAAGGAAGGTCATCACTTTGAAGAGGTTAGGTTGGTTCAATGACGATGTTCTCATGGCTTTCACGGTACAATCAATTTTTATCCTTAGTTCAAAGAAGAAAATGGATATCTTGATGGAGTTCTTTGTGAGCAAGCTAGGTTTGAACCTTATAAAGACAACAAATATTGATGAATAATTTGGGTATTCTAACTTTACAAAGTGGCATCAGTGGGAGACAAAATTCATCCACTACCTAAAATTTCAGAGGTGTTTTCGGCATTCAGAGGATACATTCAGAGGTACAACCGGACGACCATTGACCATTTAAAAAACACTATTTTCAATGTTCGAAGGTATGTTCAGAGTAGACCTGTTCATGGGCTGGGTAGCCCGACGGCCCAGCCCGCACCCGGCCGGGCTTGGTCATATAATTAGGCCCGCGGGCCTGACCTCGGGCTTAACACAGTAAGCCCGACTGTGTTTCGGGCCGGGCTCAGGATTTGTCAAAAAAGCTTGGCCCGAGCCTGGCCAGGCCCGGCCCGACTCAGTATTATATATTTTATAAAATATATAATATGTATTTTATAT